AAAGTTCAATTGGAGTATAAAACTTTGTTTACCAAAAAATAGAATTCTGATGGATTTTGACTTTAGTTGATCCCTTGAGAGCTCATTTAAATATCTCTAACCAAATTCAATTTTATCTTGTAGTAGAACATGCCCAGTACAGACCAGCACATGACTGGAGTAAAGGTCAGGGGTCAGCTATGACCACAGATGGGCTGTGGCCCACCAGGGTGGGGCTAGAGAATCCCAGGGCTAAGGTGGGAGTGTGCCAGCTGCTGTTTTCTGAACGCTCTTTACTCTGTTGACAACCTATTGTGTTTGACTGACTAGTAGCATTCTGACAAGAAATGATGGAAAGATAAATATAATGTAGGGATTTATACCTTTTCAAGACAGATAGGGAATGCATTGAAATCTCCAAAGCAAAATGTCTCCAGGTCACAGTATTTTGGTTTCTCTCTGTAAGGAAATGCTAACCCCCCCCCCTTAATAAATTGAAACTCCCAACATCTGGAGTTTTCACATGAAAGAGTCCCTTCAGTGGGTGTGGTAGCTGGGCCACGTGGCCCTGATCAGCCTCTCTGGACTTCACCTTCTCTGCCAAAGAGGGATGCTTGGGGAGGTGAGCAGTGAGATTCAAATTCTAAGCCTTGCTTCCTCATGCACAGCTAAGGCATTTTTTTTTTTTTAAGACTAGGGGATCAGAGCAGAAAATATCATGGAGTCAGGAAATCTACATTTTGAATGACGCTTGCTTCTGTGGCCCATAGTGCCCATACTGAGCGACCCTAAGAGAAGAGGGAAAAGATCCCACTTGAGTTGGTGACATCTGCTCCTTGACCTGAGTCTTTATGGATGTGCCACTTTAGCATCCACAATCAGGAGTCTCTAGGTCACTGTGATGTCACTTTGAAAGGAAATGCTATTTTTTCCTTTGTAAGTTAAAATTCCTAACTTCTGGGGTTTGGGAGTTACTCTTCTAGACAACCAGTATGCTCCAAACCTAGAAATTCGGCCTCTAATAATCTACTCTTAAACTTCCTCACTTAGCCGGGCAAGGTGGCACACGACTGTAATCCCAGCAGCTCAGGAGGCTGAGACAGGAGGATTGTAAGTTCAAAGCCAGCCTCAGCAACTGCGAGGTGCTAAGCAACTCAGTGAGACCCTGTCTCTAAATAAAATTCAAAATAGGTCTGAAGATGTGGCTCAGTGGTCGAGTGCACCTGAGTTCAATCCCTGGTACCAAAGATAAATAAATAAATAAATTCCCTCACTTAAGTACCCTATAAAGTTCTCTTTGATTTGACCTCTTTTTTTATACAGAAGGAAACTGAAGTTCAAAAATGGTTTAAAAACATTTATTTTCCCCCAAGTGACACTCCTAATTGTGTGGTGGGACTGGGCTGCAAACCTGTTCTGTTGGACTCTAAAGCCCATGCCATTGTGAAACTCTACAGTACCCTTCAGTTTTAGCATGCTGTCCTTGGAGGGCTTAGGCTTCATTTCATTAAAGAAGACAGAATCCCTTTCACCCTCAGCCTCACAGCTCCAAGAGACTTTGGTATTGAAACATCCTGTTCTGAACTGTGTTCCGGGTCCAGGCTCTGTCAGCCACTTGAAGACAGCTAACATAGGGAAGGCAGGAGAGTGTTAGAAACAGACTGTTACACTGGGGCTCATGCGGACAGCACTTGTCCTCCTTGAACTGGCCAATCTGTTCCTCTCTGCCTTCCCCAGCACCATTTAAGTTTTAATTACCTTCCGACTGTCTGAGCTGCTGTTGAGGACTTCAGAAAGAACAAAGGATACCTGTTACAGTTTTCAACAGAACTCCTCTCTACACACTGATGAAGTCACTAGCTGCCACTGCCCTTATTACCAGGTTAAATCAGAGTCTGACTGCACTGGAGAGAAGGAGGTGAAAAGGAAAAAATAAATAAAATAAGTCTTAGGCTTTACCTCTTTGTTATTCAGGATTTCTTGTGACAGATAAAATATGGTACCTACTTCTGTTTGGGTGTTATGACCAGGTTTTGCTTTATTTCTCAAAAAAGTAAAAAGAAGGATCTCTTCTATACTTAGCCCTTGGGTTTTCAGTGACTCAGATGGTAATAACTCCTCTTCAACCTTCAGGATGCTCCATTCTGAACCCCATTAAGGTAATATGCTCACAATCGAGGACAGTGCCTGTGCTGCCTACCCAAACCTGTTATTCCCCTGGATTCAGGGCACTTCTCCAAGCTGGACAGGGCCTCTGCATGCTTAATGTAGAGCTCTCGACTCCCTCCACCATCCACTGAAGTTAGGCCGTTAGTTGAAGTGATTTGCAATTTCTAGTCTAGAACATGAGTGTAGGAAAAGGTCCAGGATATTTACAACTTCTTCCTTGAGGAAAAGGAGCATGACTGTCTATATGCCTCTCCCTGAGTGCCCAGCTGTCTGCCCCACCCCCCACCTCCTCTCCTCTCCTTCCTTGCTTCCTACCTGGGGATCGAACCCAGGGCCTTGCAAATGCTAGGCAGTACGTAACCACCAAGTTGTATCCCCAGCCCTGAAGCGTGACTTCTTTCTTTCAACGGTTACCATTTTTTAAATGTGTATTTTTATAAGATTATGCCATTTTAATAAATTATGCTATAATTTGTAGAAACTTAGAAAGTATTGTAGAACTAGAATATTCAAACTTGTTATGAGCATTACATATAGTGGGCTAATCAAGAAGTGTGATGTACAGTGGTGGATTGCTAATTTGACCTCAGAATTATGCAGCAGAGATAACATTATCTTCATTTATAGAACTTTTTTTTATCTGGAGGCATCTCTTAGTGCTTTTCCAACCATATGTATTATTTTGTTTATTATCACAAACACTATCATTAAGGCTGTAAAATGCATTCCATTACCACTTTTTATTTTCAATTACTTTTAACTGTGGGAGTGGAGGTGGTAAGTTAGGGGAAGGTTGCATATTCTCTCCCATTCCTGACATTTGTACCAGGGTAAAATTTGGGAAATGACTATTAGCTAAACTTGGAAAGCCTGATTCCCTACAGTGAAAGAAAGAAAGGAAAGGGAAAGGAGCTTTGTAGCATCCCCTTAGGTCAGTATGGGCTGTATTTGACCTTAGAACACCAAGGAGGGAAAGGCCCTGCTCTTCACTATTGACCACTTCCTGGCTTACTACTCTGCACGGTAGGAGAGCTGTCTCTCCTTGGGATGATGCCAGACCTAGGGAAGAGAAAAGTGATCTGATCCATTTCCACCAAACCACATTCCCTGCAAGGTCTCAGACAGCAGCACGCAGGCTGTCAGGGCCTGTGCGGTTGAAAATGCTATGCTGGTTGAGTTGCTGTGGGTTTAAGGAAATGGACAAAATTAGATTCAGGTCCAGGTGCCAGGTTTAACACACCCCTTCCCTTCCAGAAAGCAACCAGGGAGATTGTTGCTGCCAGTAGTAGATGACTCCACAATCTTTCCTACTCAGACCATTAAGAACATATTTTAAATGAACCCACCTACTAAACCCAGTAAAATCAACACCTATCTGCCTTAAGGACTGAAGAGCGGAGATCAGGGACAACCTCCTGCTTAATCAAAGAGCTCTGATTCTTGGTGCAGAAAGAGTGGTGTCTCTCTGCCGTGAGTCTGAGCACACTGAACAGCCAGTCCAGGAGATAACATTAATATCAGTTATGAAGATGAGCGATCAGCTTGTGTCAAGGAGCAGATGGCTAAATGAGGTGCATAGGGAATGCCCAAGATTCGGGCCTGAAGAAACAGGAGGGAAAATAGCCTATGATACAAAAACCCTAAATATAATCTTCTTAATGTGAATTTTAAAAATCAGCTTTTACATTATACAGTTAACCCGGAGTGATGAGAAATGTAAGAAAATTACCAAATTAGTGAACAGCGATTAACTCAGAAGTAAAATTTTATCATCTAAATCGAAGGTTGTTTTACACACAGAGGGAAGAAATTACTAAAGCCTTGCCCAGTCTGTCATATCCTAATTGAAATCTGTTCCTTTAATATGCCCCATCCTTCCGAGTGCATAGTTCGTAATTTGGAAGAGCATTATCAGTTAATCTAGTTATTTTTCCTGGTTCTTCCTTTGAATTCCGTAAGACAGTGTGTGCACATTCCCTGTAGAATTGTGTGACACTCAGAAGAGTTTGTCTGTTCATTAACCTGTGAACTATCAGTCCCTTTGGAGAGTGAAGGGAGCAAGTCACTCCAAGGTTAACGCTTGTTTGTCAAAGATGAAGCCTCTTGGGAGATAGTGAAGGGTGAACAGGCCAAGATGCTCAAGACCTGCCCAGTGAAACCCTGCACCATGTGTAGATGCCAGATGTGTGTGGTCAGGAGGGAGGCTGCAGAGCAGGCTGGGCCACCTCTGCTGATCACTTCCTCCGGTCAGGAGAAGGCTTCCCAGCAGTCAGGTGGGGGGCCTGGCGTAAGTATATGGGGTTAACTTACTACTAGCACTTAGGAGCAGTACTAAAATAAGACACTGGGAAGGGTTTTCGGTAGTTTATTTGCATTTCTCCTTTTAAACAGGAAAGCAATATTGATTTCATGCATTTGTCTCCAGTGGATGAAATCTTCGATTGAGTTGGAAGGCATTTGATTTTGATTATATTTGTGCACATGTGCACAGATACATTCCTAAGCCTGGGCCAGGTAGAAGCTATTTGCTATTCTCCAATGTAAATGTTTCGTGGACATACACGAGTACTGACATTCAAGGCTTGACCTGAACAGTACCTAGCATGATTTTCTAGGTAAATCTAAGTTTTACTTAATTCTCTGGGAAGTGACATCACTTTGACTTTGCTATAATTATTTTAGGCTTAGTTAGAGCCAGCTGAGGAGGAAATTCAGGATCTGAAGTCAAGTTCAAAGTCTCCTTTAGTTCATATCCTGGTACACTATATGTTTAAATGAAGGACCTTATCCTGTTTATCCTTGGATTATAATGGAGTTCATTTTAAAAGATTTTCTTTTCTTTTTACCCTTAGATATATTCGAATAGTTGGGACTCACAATACAGTAAACAAGATCTTTCACATTGTGGCTTTTGAATGTATGTTTACAAACAAAATCTTCACTCTGGAGAAGGGTCTGATCGGTAAGTATTATAATACTTTTTTTTGTTATGTATGCTAAGATATTTTGTTATTCCATTAACTCATTATAATCAGATCTAAGGACTCTGGCTTAATGACAGGAGATGGCTTACATTTTTAGAAGCAGTCAAAATAGTAATTCCAGTAAACTTAAAGGAAAAGAATATAAATATTGTACTAGTAGTTAAGAATTCAAAATATTCTAGTGATTCATTCAGAATTGCAATGTAGAGAATGCTCTTGATAGCCGGGCAAAGGCTTTCATACCAAAGGCTTTTCTATAGTTTAATGGCAGTTGAGATTGGGGAGGAAGTCGGTCTGATATTGATCGGATGCTCATACTTTCTAGGCCTAAGACAGTATGTTGGCTTTTGATTTGGTATGAATGGTGTGCTCAGCTGTGGGAGTATCTTCCTTTCACAAATGTGTCAGGCCATATTTGCCCTGCTTAGCCAAGTTCACCTCAGGAAAGTGCCTGCCTATAATTTCAGTGAGACCCGAGTGATTGAACTGTCATTGCAAAAGTCAAGTTATTAGATGGGAAATACTGCCTGACCGATCTGTTGAAAGGTATTTTGAATTTTGGATTAGTTGTTTGCTTGTTTTCTGATGTGCTTGTCTTTGGTTCGTTGTAAGGTAATGCTTAGCTGGGCACTGTGTCCAGTCAATCCCGGGTTGATGGATCACAATGTATCACGAGTGGCTTTTCTCATTCAAACTACCTATCCCTCTTCTCTTTTTCCCATACTCACATGTCTTTACTCCCCTCCTGTAAAGATCATTGTTAAACTAAAAAGATCTTTGAAAATGTGTCTCTACTCCCTATGTTCAGAGGTAGTAGGAGGTTGAGATGCTCCTGCCTCACAGCACCAAAACAGAATCGTGTGTCTTTTCCAACGGACTTGGTTCTCTAGACCATCTCAGTCCTGTCACTATTGGGACCCATGTCCATATCGACGCATGTCCTGAAAACTTGGTAATGATTAGAATGGGAAAGAGGAGTGTCACTCACGGATGTTCACCAGTTCTTTGAATGGTCACAGCCTAAATTGTCCTAACACCTGTTGTGTCCTCTTAATCCTTTACTTATGGGAATTTGGGAGAATAATATTAATAAAGTAGCAGGAGTTAAAAATTTCCAGTGTATAGAGAACTTTTAGAGCTCAACTAAAACCATTGTTTTAGTTTTAACTTTGTTATGGATATAACTTTTAATATTAAATATCAAAGTTGATTTCTGTATTTTTAAGTAATTTTGAAAGTTAACAAGTTTGAAGCATTACCTGATGTTACTGTTTTTTAACTCTGTAGGCTGTATAGGTTTGAGGAAGGGCCCTTCTTTTCCTCCTTTTCACCCAGGTTCTTCTGTAGACTGTAGGCCTCACTGTGTGTGTGACCTTGCAACCTGGAGAGTCCTCACTAACCAAAGTCCTGCTTATTCACAACATGGGTAGCATCGGGCTACTCAATACTCGAATCAGCCCCAGGTGCTGCATTTTTTTAACATTCTCCACAGAAGGTGCCATCTACTTAAATCAGTCCTACTAAAGTGTTGGAGGACACTGTAATTATCAAAGAAACAGGCCCATCTGGTGTGAGAGGCCATTACAAGAGTGAAACTCAGGATGTGAGTGTTTTGTCCTAGCTGAACCACTTGGTACCGTCAGAAGCAGTGACAGTCGCAGGCATGTCAGGCTCTGAAAGAAGATTGCAGAGATGCAAGAAGTGTTTTTGGAGTCTGGTTGAACACTTTTCTTTGAGCCCTTTTCTGTGATGGCCACAAGCTTGACTACAAAAAGCACTGCAATCATCCTCCTGTCATCGTCCCTCAACCAAATGGGAGCAGTGGTGCAGGCAGGCAGCTATATGTGTACACTTGCCAGCAGATGGTCTGCAGTGGGATCCCCTCTGGCCCTTCCTGGGACGTCTTCCCAGCTCAGAGCTGCCTGTGCTGGGCAGACAGGGAGGTGGCGTGAGTGTGAAGAAGTACAGGGGGATCTCATTATCCTCTGTCTGACATTGCAGCTTTGCTTCACTTAGAGAGGTGTTTGAAATAGTAATGGCCAGCTTTCCATGTTGATTATCTCAGGTACATTTAGCAGCCCACAGATCCCAGCCAGCTACCCTGCAGGAACCTCTCAGAAAGGAGTGGTACTCTAGTGTGGACACTGGTGTGTCAGATTCACCAGGAGTTTTAATTTTAATTTTATTTATTTATTTATTTATTTATTTAGAGACAGAGCCTCACTGTGTTGCCCAGACTGGCTTCCAACTCCTAGGCTCAAGCAGTCCTCCTGCCTTAGCCTCCCAAGTAGCTGGGAACATAGGCGTGCACTGCCATACCCAGCTCAAAGTTGTTTTTAAGTCATAGATGCATGCTTCTTATTTCTTCCTATGTCCTGTGAAATATGCTATCAACCATTAAGAACCACTGATATCAACCCTGCATTTTCATGGCAGGAAAAACCATATTAAAACTAAAATAATATCATGAATAACCAAACAGTATCAAAATTTACTTTTATGTTTCTAGGTTCAGAACTTCCTTCTTTTACAATTCCTGGTCATCCTTTCATAATTTGATAGACTCCACTAATCATTTTTCTATAGGCCTTAAAAAATGACTTTAAAAATATTTGTATTTTATCTGATTTTAATGTTTCTGCTTAAAATATGTAATGATGCCAGAAAATAATACAAATAAAAATAACTGCATTAGCCACCAGGTGTGGTGGTGCACATCTGTAATTCCAGTGGCTCGGGAGACTAAGGCAGGAGGATTGCAGGTTCAAAGCTAGCCTCAGCAACTTAGTGAGGCTGTAAGCAACCTAGTGAGACCCTTTCTCAAAATAAAAAATAAATAAAAAGGGATGGCGATGTGACTCAGTGGTTAAGCACCCTGGGTTTAATTCCTGGTACACCACGAACAAACAAAAACAAGGTATCAACTGCATAAGATTTTAGTCTTCTTTTCCTACCAAAGAGTTTGTTTTCTATGTTTGAGGACAACATGTCTCTCCTCAATGCTACTTTACTTGCACAGTTTCATGGGGAAGCTTTGAGGTTCTCTAGGGTCTTATCCTTGGGACTGCCTCTGAGCTCTACCAAACTGTCCATCTTAGCTGCTGCCACTACAACCCCTTCTTATTTTGTGGCTGCTTCTGGATCTTGCTGGGACGAATTCTCTCCTGGGAGAGTAGGCCCATGATGACTGCTCCTCTGTTAGGAGGCATTTGTAGAAAACTGTAAGCTATCTTAGCAGTGAGGCATGGAAGAAAAATTAGAATAGAATTGGCTACTTTTATAAGTTTTTTATCCCACAATGTGTTGGAGTCAGATTTTCATTGCTGTGGCCAAAAAACCTTACAAGAAGAGTTAGAGCAAGAATAATTTATTTGGTTCACAGTTTCAGAGGTTCAGTTCATGGTTGGCTAACTCTATATCTCTGGGTCTGAGGTTATGCAGAATATCATGGTGGTTGAGTGTGGTGAAGGAAAGCAGCTCAGGACATGGCAGCCATGAAGCAAAGAGAGTTCTGCTCACCAAGGACACAACATAAACTCTAGCACCACCCACCCCGTGACATACTTCCTTCCACTATAACCTCCCTGTCTAAAGTCACCACCTGGTTAATCCACTGTGAATTAATTTACTGATTAGGTCACCCTTGTCGTGATATAATCATTTTCTCTGAATATTCTTGCATTGTCTTATACATGAGCTTTTGGGAGACCTAACATTCCACCCCTGGTCCCCAGAAGTTCATGCCCATCTTACAATGCAAAATACATTTAGTTCATTATCAGTAGTTCCCAAATTCTTCCAAGATTCAGAGCAAACTCTCAGTATGAACTGCTATAAAAAAATCAAAATTAAGTTATATATATCCACTATGTAATGGCATACAGTAAATATTTCCATTCCACAAGGGAGAAATATGGGCATATAAAGAGGAGATGGAACAAAAGCAAGACCAAATCCAGCTGGGCAAACAAGTTCTGTAGCTCCACATCCAACATCTGGGGCACATGGCATTGTGATGTTCCCTCTGAAGGGCTTGTGTAGCTCCGCCACTGTGGCTTGCTAGTTGCAGTCTGGCTTGTCTCTACTCCTGCAGCTTTCTCAGCAGTAGACATTGCATGTTACTAGCATCTCTTAATCTCAGGGGTCTTCACCACAACTTTTGCTTCCTTTCTACTTCTTCGCTCATCACCCTCTCCATGGCAGCTCACAGGGACTTTAAACTGCTCACATTTTTCCTGGCTTTTTAGGCCTTCCTTTGAAATTACAGTGGAAGCCTCCATAACCCCCTAACTTCATCATCCTACAATCTTGTAGAACTAATACCACATGGTTGAAGCCAAGCTCTGCCAACATTTTGAGAGGTAACCAGGCTTCCAGGCACCACAAATGCAGCAGCCTCTGAGTTACTGGGCAGCTGAGCATGGTGAAAGATCTTCCTAGACTGCTGTGTGCAAGTAGGGTGCCCAAGTGTTCTTTTATGAAAAAAAAATTTTTACTTTATACCCTTTATCCTGAGATGGATGTGGTCTTGCCAATTTCTGAGATGCCCTCAGGCTGTTTTTCCTATTGTGTCTGGATAAAGTACTCAGTGAATCTTTAGTGGCTATAATCTCACCCAGTTTTACTTGCACTCTTTTGGACAAACTGCAATTTTTCAAATCTTTCTTATGTTTCCTGTTCCTTATTATCACCGTTAATTTGGCTCAAATCTACCAGCAATATCCATGCTGCCACTTGAGTGCTGTGCTGCCTTGAAATTTCCTCTGCCAAATTAATTAGGCCATCACCTCTAATTTCAGCCTCACAGTAAGTCTCAGGACATAAGCAAGATGTAGATAGTTGTTTTTTTTTGTTGTTGTTGTTGTTTTGTTTTTGCCAGAATGTAATACGAACAGCCTCTAGTCCAATTCCCATAGAGTCCTTTCTCTCCTTTGAAACCTCATAAGCCAAGTTTTACTGTCCACAGGCCTATTGGCAT